CCCTCCATGGTGCTTCTGCTTCCCTGGAGGACCCAGAGATCTGGGTGGCGATGTTTGAGGTTGACCTCTGACCCCTGTGTGGCCTTGGGCAGGGGGGGCGGGGGTGCGTCCTCACAGCACTCTCCTGCCGTGTGAGTGTCCCAGCTCTGCTACACTCACCTGCTGTGTGGCCTCGGGCAAGGCTCCGGCTCCTCTGAACCTCGGTCCCATCTGTGACGTGGGTGCAGTGACAGTCCCTGCTTCATGGTGCTGTCGGGACAGTGGAGAAGCAGCCGCGTGTACAGTGGCCGGCTTTGCGCTTGGCACCCAGGGTCCTGCCTCCTCTGGATGACACAACAGTGAACAGCACAGGGTGCTGCTTATTGAGCACTTGTTGTTTTCCTGGCACGTGCACTTGCTCTCCAATTTTCAGATGTTGGGCTTATTATGTTTCCCGTTTCAAAGGGAGGAAACAGGCAAAATGACTCGCTGGAGATTTAGCTAGTGAGCGGGGCCAGGGCTTGACCTCAGGCTTGCCTGGAGTGCTCCCTGTCACCTGCTGGGCTCCTGCCCTCCCCACGTGGAGGCAGAGGTGATGTTCCTCAGAGCTGGGAAGGAAGGGGCTGGTGTGTCCTGTCTAAACAACCGTGTGTCGTGGGCATCTGAGACCAGGAGGTGAGGGACAGCCTGGCCCTCTGGCCAGGCAGGTCGTGGGGGGAGGCTGGGAGAGGCCGGGGTGGACCCAGGTGAGGGGTTTAGCCTCATCCACAGGGGAGTGACAGGAAGCTCTTGCATATTTTTTAATGTCTCATTAAAAAAAAATTTAAAAAAAATCACAACAAAGTAATTTCTAAATGTCAGTTGACACAGGATATAAAGTAAAAAAGAGGTTTTCCTCTCCCCATCCCACACCTTTTGGATGAAACATTGTGAAGAATTTAGAATCCTTCCAGAACTTTCTCTAAGCCTCCGGAGTGCCTGTGTGCGTGCATGTGTTCGCGTCCACATGCATGCACAAACCCGTTTTCTTACAGAAATAATAGTTGTTCATGTTGGCTACAGGCCAGGCACCACGCCAAGGCCATCGCACACACTGTCACATTTAATCCTCCCACCACCCTGGGATGTAGGCAGCATTGTCCCCCCTTTTCACATGAGGAAACTGAGGCCCTGAGATACCCAGAGGAGACTCTGTGCTGCCATCTTCCTCTTTTCGCTTAACAGTGTGTGGTGACCGCTTGTTCTTTTTTTTTTTTCTCCTTTTTTTCACCTTTTTTTAGACACAGGCCCTCTCGTCTCGCTCTGTTGCTCAGGCTGGAGTGCAGGGGCATGTAGCTCACAGCAACCTCAAACTTCTAGGCTCGAGTGATCCTCCTGGCCCAGCCTCCTGAGTGGCTGGGACTATGGGCAGGAGCGCACGGCCATGCCTGGCTAATTAAAAAAATGTTTTTTGCAGAGTTGAGGTCTTGCTCTGTTGCCCAGGCTGGTTTCAAACTCCTGGGCTCAAGCTAGGATCTGGCCCCAGAACCAGATCCTCCTGCCTCAGCCTCCCACAGTGCTGGGATCGCAGGCTGCACCACCACGCCCGGCTTCTGGTTCTGTTTAATGGCTGCTCCGCCGTCCGCTCGGAGACTGGAGCATCGCTTAACTTGGCAGACCCCCCCCCATGAACACTTAGGCTGTCGCAGGTTTTCTGTGGGGCCCCAGTTGTCTGTGTGGTTACAGACGACTCTGGCCACAGGAGGAGGTGGGCTGGAGGGGCCGCCACCGCTGTGCCCAGGCCCAGGACCACAGGCCCTGCCCAGCCGGAGGCACGGGGGCGCGGGGAGGAGATACCCCAAGGCTCCACGTGACAGAGCCCAGCACAGCGCCTGGCACGTAGCAGGTGCTTTGCACATACCTGGTGAGTGACGTGGGGGCACGTGCAGAGGTGGGGGGGCACTGGCCTGGGGACATGCTATGGCAGCTGTGGCCCCGGGAGCACGCAGCGCAGGGGACATGGGGGGGGGCATGCGGGGAGCCGAACCTGGCACCTCTCTCGGGAGCGACAGCGCAGGCCTGCTGCCTGGGAGCCGTCCGCAGCTGTGGTCAGCAGTGACTCCCCAGAGGAAAGGGGCCACCTCCCCTTGGGAACCCAGGCATCCCCAGGGCGGGTCCCCACTGCTTCCCCTTGCCCGCCCTCTCCCCGGATCTATCTCAACTCGGAGGCTGCGAGAGGAGGAAGAGATGCGGGGCTTGGCCCTTCTCCCTGGGGAGACGCACGGTGACTGGGCGCTTGGGCCCCAGAACCAGGAGTGGGCACATAGGGTCCCGCCCTGGGAGGACGGCTGTCTCTCCCAGGTCACACAGCCCAGGGCAGCCACCCCGCTGAGACTGAGCCCACCCTGAACAGGCCACCCTTCCTCACGCACCGTCTGCTTGGCTGAAGCCTGCAGTCTGGTACTTTCTCCAGGAGCGGGGCTGGGCTGTCTTCTCCGATAGCTCACCTCTGCCAGCGGCATGTGGCTGCTCCGCAGGACAGGGAGGCCCCGAGGGCAGGAGGCGGGCCCGGAGTTCCCCCACTGGACCCCACGAGCAGGCCCTGATTCCTGCCTGCCCAGTGTGCGTCCCTGTTCCCCTTTCTTTCCACTCTCACCCATGCTGTGTGACCTCAGGCAAGTTCTTCAACCTCTCTGTGCCTCAGTTGCCTCATCCGTAAAATAAAGACATTATTAGTATCTACCTCCTAGGTTACCATGAGGATTTGGTAAGTCAATGTTTACAAAATGCTTAGAGCAGGGCCCAGGCCAAGGTCAGGGCCCTGGAAGTATTTGAATATCATGGACAGATATTTGGTCTCTACAATGTGCCGTTTCAGGAACAAAACCGGGTGCGGATTACACATCTGTGCTCCTTTAGTCTTCTGTCTATTCAGCGCATATTTCCAGACGCATCCTGGTCCCTGGGGATGTGGAGATGGGTCCCTTTGGGGCTTGCCCTCGGGGCACTCACAGTCAAGGGTGCCGGACGGAACCCGGCTTTGTGCACAGTCTCGCCTTCCCGCCATGCTGGAAGGAAACACACCGCCTTGCCCGGGTGGGTGTCTTCTAGGGCCATTTTCTTTTCTTCCTGGAGTTCCCAGAGAGTCCACGCTGAGCGGTAAACACGACCATTTTGCTGAGGACTGGCCACGTGCTGCACTGTCCTAAGCATGTTCCGTGTACTTTTCTCGCTGATGCTCCTGGCAGCCCGGTGACACGGGTGTTGTCGTCCGGGAGTGTGTGTGCTCCAGCACGCTGCCTGCCTCTCACACACGTGTCATTCGTATGATCAGAATCAACCGCTGACCAAAAAAAAAACAAAAAAAAAACCAAACACACAAGCCCACAAACCAACAAACACTGCAGTTGGCGGCTCAGGTCCCCTTATCTTGGTCTTACGGGTCCTGTTATGCTTTTCCGAGTGCCCCAGTGGGCAGCGGTCGTCTTGACTAGTTTAGGAGCCTTGTGGCCAGGGGCCGTGTCTTTTTTTTTTTTGCTCCTTCCCAAGAGGGCACGTGCATTCTCTTGATGCTGGAAGGGCCCTCAAGGTCCAGCCCTGGCTTGCCCTATCCCTCCACATCAGCCAGGTACACATTTTCCTGTCTTTGATTACCCCCAGTGACAGGGAGCTCACTCTTCATCATTTAGTTCATTCTAAAGAAAGTGAGGGCTTTTAGATAGTTCTTTATATATTTAAAAAATTTGTTACTTTATATTTTTATGGCTGGGTATGGTGGCTCATGTCTGTAATCCTAGCACTCTGAGAGGCCGAGGCAGGAGGATCGCTTGAGCTCAGGAGTTTGAGATCAGCCTGAGCATGAGCAAGACCCTGTCTCTACTAAAAATAGAAAAAATAGTTAGCCAGGAGTGGTGGTGCACACCTGTAGTCCCAGCTACTTGGGAGGCTGAGGCAGGAGGATCGCTTGAGCCCAGGAATTTGAGCTTGCTGTGAGCTGTGATGACGCCACGGCACTGTAGCCCAGGCAACAGAGAGACTTTCTCAAAAAGACTTTCTGTAATTTTTATTTCCTCTCCAAGTCCCACAGACAAGTCCCCTGCTATGGGGTCCTCGGAGGCAGGACCTGGCTAACTCGTCTCTGTGTCCCCTGCAGTCGGGCCTGGGGCTGCAGGTAGTGAGGCCAGCCGGGCCTGTGGGACGCCAGCTGTCTGAGTGCTCACGGGCACTGTGACCGCAATGGAAAGGGCTGCCATGGAGACTGGCCTGCCTTGTTCCCAGGCCCACTGACTGTCCCTCAGGAGGCCCTGGGGACCCCGTGGGCTATTGAGCAGGTCTCCCCAGGGCCTTCCCAGCCCCACAGAGTCTGAGCCGGACGGTCCCCAGGGAGCACTCAGCCACACCTCCATTGTGCAGCCGGGCAGCCCGAGGCCAAGAGGGGGCAGGCCCCGCCTGGGGTTCACGTGGGGAGGGGGTGCAGGGGGGGTGCTCAGGACAGGCAGCCCTGCCCAAGGCCCCGGCTAGTCACGGGGACTCTCCCCCATTCTGGGGTTCTCAGAGGAAATTCTGGGTTGGTTCCGGGGTCTTCAGCGTCCCCTGGAGAATACTGAGGACCCGCCCAGTTGGTGCGTCCAGAGTCGCCAGTGTGGGCAACAGCTGGCGTGGTGTGGGGACCCGAGACGCTCCCAGCTCTCTGCGCCCCGTTCCCTTACTACTACAGCAACCCCGCCATCGACAGAGGAAGAAACGGGGCACACAGAGACGTTAGGTCATGTGCCTGAGGTCACACGGTCGACTGGGGACAGAGCCAGGATCTGAACCTGGGGACTCTGGCTCCAGAGCCACCTTCACCGCCGTTGCCTCCCCCCTCTGGCTCATAAGACACTTGGGGACGGTTGGAGGCTGTTTGGGGCCTGGGAGGGTCTTAGCACTGGGCCCGCCAGAGCCCGACGAGCAGTGATCCAAGAGGGACAGCCGCGACGATTTCTCTTTCTAACCGTTTCCTCGCAGCAGCCTGACAAGTCTGCTTTGTCTCTGCTTTGCAGATGAGGACGCCGAGGCCCAGAGAGGGAAAGTGACTTGCCTAGGGACACACAGCAGGGAGAGGTGGAGCTGGGCCTCTAGTCTGAAACCCCTGACTCCACACCTGGTGTTCGAGCCAAGACCCCAGGCTGCTTCCCAGATCCTCTGGGGCGGCCCCTGCCTTCACCAGGTGAGATGATGGCTGACTCCGGGAGCCGCGGCCACCCAGGGCCTGTGGGTGAGGAAGTGGGGGTGGGGAGGTGGGGGCGGGGGCGGGGCGCAGGCGTGGGCACTGGGAGTTTTCAGCTTGGTTCCCTGTGTGTTTCCTGATCTCTGGACCTCCTAGCTTTCTGGCGCAGGAATGTCTTAACTTTTGAATAGCCACTCATTCAACTCCTTATTGAGCACCTACTGTGTGCCACTCCCTGTGCTAGGCACTAGCAGCACAGCAGTGAGGAAGACAGATAAAAGGCTATCACATGGGGGGAGGGGGGAAATGGGCATTTTTTGAAACCTTAAAATCTGTACCCCCATAATATGCCGAAATAAAAAAAAAAGAAAAAAAAAGGCTATCACAATAATCATATAATCACATGAATTAAAGAAAAATTAAAAACAGGGCCATTTATCAAGGAGAGGCACAAAAGTCAGGGTAACTTAACCCCGTGAAAGGATTTGGGCAGCACTTCCCAAGGAGGTGACTTTTGAGCTGAGAATTGAAGGAGGCACTGGTTATCCTGGTGAAGTGCTCAGGCCAGTGGGAACAGCATGTGCAAAGGCCCTGTGGCTGGAGTCAGCTCCCAGTCATCTCTCCTTTAACCCTTGCCCCCATGTTGCTGCCTTGGTTGCCGTCTTTAGCACCTTTCTCCCAGTGTTAGACCATTCCAGTCAGTCATATGTTCATCCAACAAACCCTCAGTGAGTCCCCGCCTCTGAGCTAGGTGCTGAGTACATAGGCATGACTCAGACACTGTCCCTGCTGCCCATGAGGGAAAGAAACAGTAACTGAAGGGGAGGCGAGAAGGGTCAGGGTTACTACTGATGATGAGGGCTGCTTCTGTGCCAGGCCCTTTCTATGGGTGCCATCATTATGCCCATTTTACAGATGAAGACACTGAGGCTCTGGGAGACTAACTCGCCCCTCATTGGGCCTCAGTTTCCCCAGGCAGCCCTTCCTGCTCCTAGAGGCTGTCCTTCACCCCAGGGCCCTCTCTCCCTCCAGCCAGGATCATGGGCAGCAACAAGAGCAAGCCCAAGGATGCCAGCCAGCGGCGCCGCAGCCTGGAGCCCGCCGAGAGCGCGCACGCCGTCGGCGGGGGCGCCTTCCCCACCTCGCAGACGCCCAGCAAGCCAGCCTCGGCGGACGGCCACCGCGGCCCCAGCGTGGCCTTCGCGCCCGCCGCCGAGCCCAAGCTCTTCGGAGGCTTCAACTCCTCGGACACCGTCACCTCCCCGCAGAGGGCGGGGCCGCTGGCCGGTCAGTGGGGGTGGCGGCGCGGGACGGCCTCGCCCCCGCTGGCCGGCCGGGCTGCCCTGCGGGGCGCCGTGTGTGCGCCGGGCGCGGGCGCCCCTCTCCGGTGCGGGCGCGGGTGCCGCTCCCGCCCGCCGGGAAGGGGAGGGTCCGCGGCGGCTCGCGGGGAGGGCTCTACCGTCGCGCGCCCTGCGGCGCCTTCTAGGGGCACCGACGCAGGCTAGCGGGGCCTGGGGGCGCTGCCCGAGAGAAGGGCGGCGACGGGGCCAGGCCCCCGGCTGCTGCCCCCGGCCCAGGACGGTCTCTGCCCGGCGGCCGGGGCGGGGCAGGGGCCGGAGCCCGGGGCGAGGGCGGCTTCCAGGCGGGGCCCGCGCCCGGTGCGCCCCTGCGCCCTCTGCTGGCGCCTGCGGGCACGGCGGCACGGCGCGCCGCTCGGAGACGCGCAGAGGGACCGGGTCGGGACGCTCAGACAGGGACAGGTGCGCGCAGACACGTGCGCTCGGCCGGGCCGCACCCACGCGGCGCGCGCACACACGCTGAGCGGGACGGCGTCGTGGACTCGCAGACACAGCGCACAGAGGCACCCCAGGGACACGTGGGCGCACAGACACTCCCCATGCAGACACAAACACACATGCACGATGTGTCTCCGCTGAAGACGCGTGCCATACAGTCTGAAGCCCATTCAGAGACACACACAGAGGACGCACAGGGACACGCTGAGCTGGGGACACCATGGTGGACACTCAGGCTCACAGGCGCGTGAATGCACCTGTGTGCAGTGAGAACACATGGGCAGGTGTGGACCTGCAGACACAGACACACACCCAGGTGAGACACATGCAGACACACCCATTCAGTTGTTCAAGAAATATCTGTGGAGTTCCTACTGTGTGCCAGGACTGTTGTCAGGGGCAGAGAGAAACAGGACAGGTGTGGACACCTGTGCAGGGGCTTGGAAGTGGAGACGGCTGGGAAGGAAGGAAACGGTGGGGAGGGGAGACTGGGGGATTGTGGAGGTGGACGTTGTCACTTAAAATGGGGGACAGAGGGGCCTCTTTGAAGGGACAGTTACCTGGAGCCAAGTCTTCCCAGACACCTGGCAGCACCCAGTCACTCACGGAGAAACAGAGTGTGCCTCCCCGCGGGGCTTTCTGCAGCCACTGCTCATTCAGCCCGAAGTTCTTTCCTGAACACCTACTGTGTGCCAGGCTCTGGGGACAAAACAAAGATGCCTGTTACCGAGCACTTCTGGTTCTGTGAGCAAGACAGACACCAAATAGCTAAGACGATACCCAGCGCCACCTAAAGCCCAGGGCACACTCAGATGTGAAGGGACGCTCACGCCCCCACAGCGACGCACGGACACACGGCCGTGTCGACACACATACAGGCCCCGCTGACTGTGACCGCGTCTCTGGGCTGGGCACTGGTGGGTGTGGGAGACCCCCCTCCCCTCGGCGCCGCCCTGCTGACACACCACCCTCTCTGCAGGTGGAGTGACCACCTTTGTGGCTCTCTATGACTACGAGTCACGGACAGAGACGGACCTGTCCTTCAAGAAAGGGGAACGGCTCCAGATTGTCAACAACACGTGAGTGCCCCCTTCCCCGTTGGCCCCGCGACGCAGTGGGGTGAGTTCACAGTGGGCTCCTGCCACGCTGGAGCTGCCGACAGGGCAGTGGGACAGAGGGCAAGTGGCGCCCAGCACCGACTGCACCTCCACCTTGGCAGCGCCTGCTGTCCCTCCCCAGCCCCGGGCACCCATCCCTGGCCACGGGGACCCTCCCCATCTCCGGCTCTGCTTGCTCCCTCCAGCCCTCTCTCAGCTTCTCCCTCTCTCTGCTTCTCTCTCGCTGGCCCTTAGGAGGAAGGTGGATGTCAGGTGTGTACAGCGGCGGGCCGGCGGGCGGGTGGGGGCGCTGCCGGGTCGGGTGCGGCGCCGCCCGCATGTGCTTCCACCGCCCTGTCCCTGCCTGTGCTCTCTGCTCCCTCCGCCGCCCTCACCACTTCCCCCGCTTCTCCACCCCTGCCGGACTGACCGGGTCCTGGACCCGGACCCCAGGCTGAGATGGGGCCATCCATCGCTCCCTCCTCACCCCTCCTCCCTGTGCCCTCCCACCACCTCACCCCTCCCCATCAGACCATCGGCCCATTGAGCACCAGCTGCAGGCAGGCTCCAGTGCTGAGCCCGCTGGGGCCTGCGCGGAGCAGGCCGCGTCCACACCCTCCTGGAGCCAGAGCGTGGCCGGGAGCCAGCCCTTTGCCCCGGTCCAGGCCAAGTGTCAGGCGGAATGGGGTCAGCTCCTGGAGCCCCTGCGGTGTGCCCCTCTGGTGGTGCCCACAGGGCCTGGGAGGGCTAAAGGCCTTGAAGGAAAGACAGGGAAGTGGTGTGACGGCAGAGGGGTGGACGGCCACCCCGCGAGGACGGAGGGTGCAGGGCTGGAGGGGGCCGAGCCTTCAGGGCTGTGGCAGGCAGGGGCTCTCGAGGGGACAGGAGACTCCATCCCTGGGTGTCCTCAAAGGCCTGGCTCAGGAAGTGGGACATTTCCACCATCCGCAAGCGTGTCTTGCCTGTTCATGCCTCCCTTCCCTTGTGCATGCTCTTCCCCTGCCTGAATGCCCTTTCTCCAGCCTCTGCCTGGTGGACTCCTATTCATCCCTCAAGGTCCGGCACAGGACTGCCTTCTCTGTGAGGCAGAAGGGAGCACAGGTGCCAGGTGCTGTGCCAGCCATCGTTGCCCGTGTCCCCCTTGTATTAGCTCCTCTCTGCATCCAGCCAGGGCTGTAGTGATGGGGGAGGGGCCTGACTCCATTTTGCAGATGAGGAAACTGAGGCTCAGAGGTGGTGAAGGCCCTTGTCCAAGGTCACATGGCTACCAAGTAGCAAAGCCAGGATTGGAACTTGGGCTGTGGCTCTCTCCCCTCCTCAGGCTGCTCTCGGGGGAGGGGAGGGAGCTGTCCCGGCTCCCCCTTGGCGTATCAGGGTCCTGGCTCCAGGCCCTTTATTGTCACCAGCTCTTTGCACCTGCTTCCCCCCAAGCTGGGAGCTCCTTGAGCCACTCTCTGGTCAACCTCCATTCTAGTCCCCATGTCACCTGCTGTTCAGCACACGGGGTGGCCAGCCGGTGCTGGGGAGCGGATGAGTGAGCAGTCATAACAGTGCTCCGAGCACTTCTCGTGCCCTGGGTGCGAGCCGGGTCCTGTGCTGCGCGCTTGCAGTTGCATTATATTATTTACACGTCGGCGCAGCCCTGAGAAGTGGGGACGCTCATTTGCTCCATTCTACAGATGAGGAAACTGAGGCCCAGAGAGGGGAAATGACTTGCCCAAGGTCACACAGCTAGTAGTGGCAGAGCTGGGAGGGGTAGGCTGGCCCTCGGACCCATGGCCCTTGCGGGAGGGCTCAGTGGAGGTGCGGCGAGCCCAGAGCGGGGAAAGGCCCGTTCCAGGGAGGACGCCTCAGGCTGGCGGCTTTCAGGTGCTGGGGGCATCTCAGACCGGGTCACGTTGTGAGCAAAGGCTCGGGGAACTTTGATTCTGCCTCTTCCACCGGGGTCGGAGGGCAGTCCCACTGCTTCGTTTGCCCAGCCCCTTCCCTCCCCTCTTCCTGCCTTCCAGGCTGGGCGGGGGCGCTGGGGGCCGGGGTGATGGGGTGGGGGCCACTACACTCCTTGCCTAGAAGTTGGGGAGGCGGGGGCAGCTGGGGCTGGCGGTAGAGCAGGGGAGAGGAGGGGCTTCGTGGAGATGGGCCACCCGCATTTGAGATGTTTGGGTCTCGTCCCTCACCCAGGGACCACCGTGACTGCTTCGGGGCCGTTGTTGTTTAGCGCCTCCCACCCTGCGCTCTAGCATGGCCCCACCCACGCGGCTGTCAGGGCAGGTGGAGCCCGTCTGTCGGGGTTGGCCAGGTTGGGGCCCTCACAACAGCGGCCCAGAGATCCCGCTTCATGGACCCCGGTGCCAAATGGCCCTGGGTTCTAGCGTCCTGCGTCCTGCGTGGCCCTGGGTCAGAAGGAGCGTGCCGTGGGTCTGAGGTCTGGCTGACCTGAGCCCACTGGCCTGGCGTCCGAGTTTCCAGGGCCCCTCTGGGTTGCTCCACCAACTGCCCCCTCCTCCCATCCACATTCCAGCATCTTCTTTCGGAGAGCTTCCAGCAGGTACTGCCGGGCAACAGCACTGCAGCCAACCTCTGCCTCCTTGCCTGGGCATGCCAGGGCAGGGGCACCTCAGGACTTCAGAGCCTCCAAGGACCCTGCCTTCCTGTCTTCTTCCCGAGACCTGCCCTGGCCTCGCCCTTCCCTCACCCCGCTACCCAGCCCACAGACCGTGCGCGCCAGGCCTTGGGGCTTGGAAACTTGACTGCCTGGCTCTAACTGGGCCCTGGCCAGCCTCAGCCTGGGGCTGTCAGGCCCCAGCTGGCCACACCCAGCTGCCCCGCTTCTCTGACCAGTCCCTACAGCCCAAGCGAGTTAAAATGTCAAGACCCAAACTGGCATCACGTCCCAGGTTCCAAAGCTGCCACAGCCCCGGTCCACATGCCAGCCTGGCTGGACACGGGATTAAGTCCATAAAGAGGATCCCGAGGCTCAGAGAGGTGAGGTCAGTTGCCTGAGGCCACACAGGCAGTGAACAGCAGCTGGGATGTAAAAATGTAAAATCTCGGCTCGGGGGTTCCTGGCCCAGCGCTTCCTCCTGCGGCCACGGGTGGGAAGGTGAGGGGTTGAGCAGGGGACAGGTCAGGCCCCAGGGAAGGCTCTGGATGCAGTAAAACTCCTCCACCTGATAGATCTATGTCTCGGTTACCCCCCACCACCGCCACCTGAGGCAGGTTTGAGCCTCCCAAACCCTTAACACAGGAAGATGGGGATTGGTGCTTCCATTTCACAGGTGGGCAAACTGAGGCCCTGATGATAATCAGAGTAATTTTCTTAGCTTCCCCTGAGCCCAGCTTGATGCTGATTATTTGCACACTTTGCCTGCAGGGGAGATTCCATGAATATGATCTTTATATCTAAAACTCAGAGAGGGTAAGGCACTTGGCCAAGGTCACACAGCAAATCCTTGTTGGAGACTGAGACTGTGCTGCTTTGGTTTTTTAAAAACATTTGGAGAGTGGAAGGGGCACGGCGCAGATACAGATTTAGTTGTTTTTATGTATTTGTTTAGCCAAAGCTCCTGCGCATTGAGCACCTACTATAGCTGGGCCCTGTTCTGGCATGACTGCCCCTCTGACAGACGAGGAAACTGAGACTGGAGGGTGTGGTGTGGAGGGGTCAAGGCCACACAGCCAGCAAGGGGTGAGCTGGGATGGCGCCCGGAGCAGGCCACTTCTGGAGCTCGAGCTCCCGCACGCCTCCAAAGTCAAGGGCCAGGCTGAGGCCGGAGCTCGTGGCTCTTTAGTGGTGTTGCGTGCACTCCTCTCCCCGCCCCTTGTGAATAAACCCCGGCCTGGACCACGAGAGCCCAGACCCACACGGGGGCTGCTGTCGGGAGCCGGGAGCTCTGCTTGCCGAGGTCTGGGTAATGTCAGCTGCACTCGTCTTGCCTCTGGGGCCTGGCTTGGCTGCCCCTGGGCACTTGCTTCTGCCAGCCTCCCACTCTGAGTCGGGGGCCAGGGGCTCCCCAGAGGCCAGCTTGCAGCCTCTGGCTTTGTCAAACTGCCTCTCCTTTTTTTCTTCTTTTTTTTTGTCAATTTTTTTGTAGAGACAGGGTCTCATTTTGTGGCCCAGCCTGGTGTCAAACTCCTGGCCTCAAGTGATCCTCTCGCCTCGGCCTCCTAAAGTGCTGGGATTACAGGCGTGAGCCACTGCAGCCGGCCAAGTGGCCTCTTTTTGTAGCCTCTTGACCTTAGACCTTGGCCCAGTCCTGGTGGGGCCGTCCCCTGCCCCCGCCCTGCTGCCTCGGGTTCTGTCTTCCCTTGGCCTTGCCGAGGGTCTCAGCCTCTGTGAGGCTGGGGTGGGGGCAGCTGTGGGCACCTAGAGGCCCTGATTCCCACCCCTGCTCTGCTATTTATTCACTGTGCGGCTTTGGGCAAATCAATGCCCTTTTGTGCCTCAGTTTCCCCGTTAGTGAGATGGAGGCTTTGGTTTGGGAGATCTCAGAGAGCTGTTCCCTGTGACTTGAGTCCTGGCTTTACAGCTTTGGGCAAGTCCCTGCCCCATCTGTTCCTCAGTTTCCCCAACTCGGTAAAGAAAGTGCTGGGCTACTCTAGTCTTGGTGCTGTGTGTCCCTGGGTTGATCTCTCAACATCTCTGAGCCACAGTTTCCTCATCTAGGGGCTGGGACCTTGTGTTTCTTCCTTGAAGGGTGGCTGTGAGGGTCAAATGAGACAGACAAGTGTGGACACCTCGGGTGGGTTTGCAACACGGAGGTGGATGGAGATTTTGTGCATCCAAAGGCTTCTTTCCTTGGCGTGGGACTTGCCCCCTCCCTCCAGGGCCTCCCTCCTTAGAGACCCCACGTGAACTTACCCCCTCCCTGAGCATGCGTGCAGCCATTGCACAACTGAGTCAGGCCCACACAGCCCCAGTTGTACCCCCTTTGGCTCACTCCATCCAGAAGGGACCCCCACCCTCTGGTTCACCTCAGACCACCCAGCTGAGCCCCAGGGTCTGGGGTGCTCACCTGTCCTTTGACAGGTCTTCGTAGAGCTCCCTCAGCCCCATTCTCTCCTGGCCTCAACTTTTCCATCTTTAGAATGGGCTGAAGAATCTGGCCAGGGCAGCTCAGAAGGACTGGGAGCCAGGGAGCCAGGTTCGAGTTCAGATTGTGTGACTGTAAGCAAGGTCCTTTCTCTGACTGGACCCTAGCAGGGTCTGGGGGGACACCCTGCTTACATAGATCTTCTCAGGGTCATGGTGAGGTCCAAAGGTGGCCTTGGGTTGAGAAGAGCTCAGCAAGCTAGCAGCCCCGCCACGCCCTGTACGGGAGGGATCCTCCTCCTCCGGGAACCCAGGCCTGGCTGTGTGACCTTGAGCAGAGGGCTTCACTTCTCTGGCCTCAGTCTTCCCATCTGTACAGTGGGATTGAGAGGGGGCCCTAGTTCCCAGGTCGCCTGCCCAGTGACACCCTCCCCCAGTCCCTGTGGACCCTCTCCCTGTCCCCTTTGGTTGCTGTGGATGTGAGGCCTCTGCGGCTGCCCCCGTCCCCGTCCCCAGCACCGCCTGGCTCTCCTGCTCTCTCCCTGGCTCTTCCTGTCACTCTTTGCCTCTCACCACCCCCATCTCTGCCTCTTCTCTCCTCTTGGGCTCTCGCTTTCTCCTCCCTCCTCTGTGTCTCTGGACCCCCGCTCCAGCCAGACCTGGTTCACATTCAGATGGCTGCAAAGGTACTTCCACCCCTCCCAACGCCCACCCTGGTCCAGGGACCCAGCCTCCACGCCAAGAGCTCCTCCCGCCCCTGCCCCCAGCACCTCCTCCCCCTCCCTCCTCCTCACGGGGCAGTTAGCATAGAAGTGCTCTGGGCATTGGGGCTCTGCCACCTCAGTCCCCTCTGACTGGCTTGCTGTGTGACTTTGGGCAAGTCCTAGCCCACCCTGGCCTCAGTTTCCCCCTACAGATGGAAGGCTGCAGGAGGAGGCCTGTAGTTTTCAGCCGAGGAGCCCTTCAGGTGTGACCTGTGATATGTGACAGAGATAAGCATTGCTCTAGTTTGCAGGGTTGGGGCCTAGATTGTCACTGGTCCCCAAAAGAACCACCCCTTGCCTCCACCCACATCTCATCAGCTCCCAGGATTGGGCTTCTGAATCTCAGGGCTTGGGAAACGCCATAGGTCTAATTTGACTCTATTGCGGGCAGGAATCTTCTCTCTTGTTACAACCTTACTTGCCCCCAGGGACAGGGAGCTCCCTCCCTCACTCCCAAAGCAGCTCGTGGCATCTTGAGATGTCTTGATACATCCGAAAGAAAGCAGCTTACTGCCCATCCCAGGCCTTTGCCCCTGTGGGTTTGGGGCTCGGGCTGATCAAGGTCAGTCCTGCCCCTGTCCTGGACAAAGCCCATCTGAGCCAGCTTTGGCAAAGAGGCATCTGGGCCGGGGGGGCAGGGTCCCAGGCCAGCTTGCCCGGCACTGTGCGAGAGCTCGAGCCGGCCCTGCTGCCTCCCGGGCCTCGCTGGCCCTCCGGGGCCCCAGCACAGCACCTAGGAAGGGCCGGGCGCCGGGCTCCCGCTGACGGCTCCCTTCTCCTTTGCTCTTCCTTCTGCCCCTGCTCAGAGAGGGAGACTGGTGGCTGGCCCACTCGCTCAGCACGGGACAGACGGGCTACATCCCCAGCAACTACGTGGCGCCCTCGGACTCCATCCAGGCCGAGGAGTGAGTATATCCCCGCCACTGCCCGCCACTGCCTGCGCAGAGGTCTTTCCAGGGCTGGGGTGGGAGGCCGAGCTGCCCAGGGCCCCGGCCACATCCAGGGGGAGGCGCTGTGACTGGGCAGAAGCCCGGACCACCAATGCCGCCCACCCCCTCCCACCCCAGGTGGTACTTTGGCAAGATCACCAGACGAGAGTCAGAGCGGTTACTGCTCAACACCGAGAACCCGAGAGGGACCTTCTTAGTTCGAGAGAGCGAGACCACAAAAGGTACGAACACTCCTGCTGGCCAGTGAAAACTGAGTCTACTGCGGGTGGTTTAAGCTGGGTGCTGCAGAGTGAATAGGAGTTTGGTGTATGGCGTGGGGAGGGAAGAGCCCTCCAGGTGGTGGAAATGGTAGGATCCAAGTCAGGGAGGTACATCTGAGGAGCTCTGAGAAATCTGGGGTGGCCAGAGGCCCAGTGAAAGATGAGGCTTAGCCTCCCTGGCCTCAGTTTCCTCAGATGAGGAATGGGTACAGGTTGTCAGGAGGTCTGAGTGTCACACAGCAAAAGGCTTGTTCCCAGGGTGGGTGCTGATGTGATAGGCCCCTCTTCTTCCCCTTCCCAGGGGCCCTGGGGCTGCACTGGGTGCCGGGCAGTCCCGGCCCCTGCTCCTCTCCTGTCCCTCCCCCCGGCCGGAGAATGAAGACCATCCCCTTTCTCTCCAGCCCCTCTGAAAGTGGGTTGCAGGCGCCTCGTCACCATGGCAACCAAGCTGGGCCGCTTCCTGTGGGCCTGGGGCTCAGCGGGAGATGGGGAAGCAGAGCATCCATGTCGTGCGTGTGCGTTATGAGCAGTTGTGTGGCCGTGTACACGTGTGCATGCCGCGCGTAGGTCTGGGCATGCGTGTGTGTGCACGTGGGGGTGGAACTGTGTGTCTCTGCGTGGGAGTGAATTGCGGTTTGTCCTTGTGCCCGGGGGCCTGGGGAGTGTGTACCTGTGTAAGCATGTGGCCGCTGGGCTCGGCATGCCTGTGCGCGTGTGCACACGCGGTCAAGGTTGGCGTCAGCCTCGGGCCTGTGGCTTCTACATGCTCATGGCCTGGACTCTCTGTAGAAAATCACGGTTGCCCAGTGCAGGCTTTAGATGTTCGAGTGTGGGCTTGTGTGCTAGCTCTGTGACCACAGGCTGGCCACTTCCCTCTCTGGGCCTCATTTCCCCTTCTGCACACCGGGTGGTAACCTCTGCCCGAGGACTGCCCAGCGGAAGGTCCGTGGCTGCAGGGGTGGGCGTCCCGGGCTATCCGCGCTGCCGGGCCGGGCTCCTGAGAGGCTCCCGCCTCTGGGCTCAGCCTCCGTCCCTCATGCCACCCTTGGGCTCAGGTTAGAAGAGGTTCCTACCCTGGCCTGCTGGGCAGGAGGAAACCTTTCTTATCTAGGCTCAAAGGAAAAGGGAAGGGACACCAGGGCTGGCCCAGCTTCGCCTTGGCTGCCTTCAGGCCACACCTAGCATGTGATTGTCTGCCAGTCACCTCTGCCAGCCACTCCCTCTGCCAACCACCCCCTCCTGCCTGAGCTGGGCCTGTCTTCAGGAAGGGGTGGGCCACAGACAGTGCCCCCGTAGACTGACCCAGAGAGGGAAAGCAGTTAGGCCAGGGACACACAGCCATATGGGGCCCTTCCCAGGCTCCCAACAAGCATTTATTGAGTTCCTAGTGTGTGCCAGGACCTCTTATATGTTGTCTCATCGAATCTTCCCAGCAGTCCTGGGAGTGCCCCCATTGTGCAGAGGCGGAAATGGAGGCTCAGAGAGGGCAAGTGACTTGTCAAGGTCACACAGCTGGGATGCACACCTGGGATTTGTAGGTCTTGCCAGGGCCGAGGGTGCATGGCAGGACCCTCTGGTCAGGTGTTGCTTTGCTCACTTGGCCCTGCCTCAGTGGCTGGCTCAGAGCTGGCGGCTGAGCGACAGGGTGGCCCAGGGGCTCTCAGCCCCGGCCTCCCTTCCCTCCCTCCCGTGTGGGACAGGCATAGAACAGTGCTTAGTGCCATGGCCTGCGGGGGCAGCCGGCGTGCTGGTCACACTCCCCCTGGGCCTGGCCTGCAGGTGCCTACTGCCTGTCCGTGTCCGACTTCGACAACGCCAAGGGCCTCAACGTGAAGCACTACAAGATCCGCAAGCTGGACAATGGCGGCTTCTACATCACGTCCCGCACCCAGTTCAACAGCCTGCAGCAGCTGGTGGCCTACTACTCCAGTGAGTGTCCCCCCAGGCCTGGTCTGCAGGGTCTGCTGCTCCCCCACTTCCCATCCCTCCCCCTCCCCCCTTCCTCTCCCTTCCCCCCTCCTCCCTGTATCCCTTCCTTGCCCTTCCCCCCTCCTCCAGCCCTTCCCCACTGGCCTTCACCGCTCCTCCTCTTTCTCTGCAGCTGTCTGGTGAGGAGGGGGCTGCCCTGAGGAGGAGGAGGGGACAGAGGCTGCTGTCGTTTGTCTGCATAGCGCAGGACCGGTCTGAACCGGTTACTGGGAGAGGAGGAGGGGCGGCTAGACTGACTGCAGCAAAGAGGGAGAGGGTGGGCGAGAGTGGCTGAGGGGGCCGCGGGGGCTCAGGGAGCCCACCATGTGGAGGGGGAGGGATGGGGCGTGGTGCAGTGGTGTGGCCCACCATGTGTGCACCGCAGTGCCACCGTGTGCCCCTGTGCCCGTGTGCCTCTGTGTGTGTGTAGCCATGGTCTGCTCCCCACCCTGCGCCCCTCCTCCTCCTCCCAGCTGGACCTCCCGCCTTCCCCTACCTTCCCGCCACTCTCTCCCGCTGGCCACCACTATAGGGTCCCCTTCCTGCAGATGAGAGCCCTCCAGGGGCTATCTTGGGAGCTTAGGATAAAGGCCCTGAGGCCTTGGGGGGGGTGTCTAATCTCAGCCCCTCCTGCCCCCACCTGGTGCCCCCTCCCCCGACCACTCCCTGCAGCCCCTGGGGCCCCTCAGCCCAGCAGCTGTTCTCTCCAGCCCGTGCTTGGGGTGCCCTTCCCTGCTCAGCCCCTCGCCCTCCTGCAAATCCCGGCCCAGCTGCCACTTGCCCTGGGCGTCCACCCCCACTCAGGCCTCCTGCTGCTGCGCGGCTCCCCTCTCCCGGCACACGCGTGGTCCTGGCGGGTGGGGTGACTGGGCTCCTCCCTGGACCGGGAGCTCCGAGGGCAGGTTCCTCTGGACTTACTCTACTCTGGGTCCCCTTAAAGTCTGATGAATGAATGAATGAGTGAGTGAGTGACCCGGACGCAGATGCGTAAAGCTCAGTGGGCCCATGGGGGGCGGGGCCGCGCATACATGGCTGTCCACGCCTGGCCCCCAGGCAGCCTGTGTGTGTCATGTGCGGGGCTACACTCGCAGCGGGACAGGGGGGCCCGGGGCAGACGGCCCGCCTGACCTGCACCTCCCTGCCTGTGCCCTCAGAACACGCCGACGGCCTGTGCCACCGCCTCACCACCGTGTGCCCCACGTCCAAGCCGCAGACTCAGGGCCTGGCCAAGGACGCCTGGGAGATCCCTCGGGAGTCGCTGCGGCTCGAGGTCAAGCTGGGCCAGGGCTGCTTTGGAGAGGTGTGGATGGGTAAGGCCGGGCCCCTGGGGGAGGCGTGTGGTGTCTCCACCGAGAACCAGGCCCGAGGTCTGTCCTGGGTGGCAGCTTCAGCCTCCCTTGCTTCCCTTTCCGCTTAGTCACCTCTGCTGAACAGTAGGACCTGTTTTAAATATAGAGCTCCCCAGTGCTGAGCGGCACCGAGTTGGGGTGTATCCCCCCACATGCTGTGCTCAGCAGCCCTGCAGACCATAGCACCTGTTAATCCAGAGCTGGTCAGGGCTAGCCAGCGCACTCTGAGCCTCAGTCTTCCCACCTGTAAGATGGGCTGGTGCTAATAGGACCATCAGGGGGCTGCGAATGAACAGTGGCTTGTGCGTGTCCACATGTTAGCTGCTAGCCGAGGGAAGAGCCACCCCCGCTCGTGGAGGGGGGTGCTGGGAAGCTTAGGGTCTGGCATGTTCCGGGCCTGCCTGTTAGTGATTTCTTGTCTAACCTTGGAACAATAGCAAAAGGGTCCTTGAAAACGAGCACCATGCAGCCGTGACAAAAGCCAGGCCCCTTTCCCGCCGGCTGCTCTCTGCTGATCCCGGTGGAGGTGGGCAGACTGTGAGTCTGCGGCTTTAGCGGACACGGGTGCAGTTTGCAGGGTTGTTTCATCGGAGCCGCAGTGTGCGCGGTGTCACCGTCCCCTCTCCTCCCCAGGGCTGGCCGGGGAGAGCAGACAGGCGTCCCTTAGGGGGAGCCGTGCGTGGGTGCGGGGACAGAGGCCTGGAGGCTGGGCAGGCCAGGGCAGGGCAGGGGCGGCGTGAGCTGCTGAGAGGGGAGGGGTGAGACCCCAGCGCGTGGACGTGGACGCAGCTAAATGAGGACTCGCGCAAACCCTGGATAAACCCTGCTGGTGGCTGCAAGACCACCTGCCTTAGGTGTGCGGTGACGTCCAGGGAAGGGCCTCCGTTCCTCCCTGGGTGCTCCAGGTAGACTCCTGGGGGCCCGCAGAGGTGGGCCTGAGCCCCAACCCCCAGATCGAGGCGGGCGATGAGGAGAATGGGCCCAAGGCCCCCGCCCAGCCGGGACGAGAACCCGGATGAAACACTGTCTAGAACACAGCTTCCCCCAAGGCCCCCAACTTAAAAAGCAGATAATAGCGAAGCGATAACTACTTTCTTTACAGAGCCTCACAGCGGCCCGGCCCAATCGCTAAAATCTCATTTAATCCTCAATCGGCTCCCACAGGCAGGCGCCACGCATTGCCGCTTTCCAGACGAGCCGGCTCTGGCAGGAGGCAGAGGCGGGAGTGGACTGCGGCCAGCCTTCGCGCTGTGCTTAGTGCGGGGCTGTGCTTTGGGGGAGTGTGGGCTCCTGAGGCGGCCTCTTGCTCTGGTGGCCTATATGGCCCCTGGGCCGGCTACCCCTGACCCCTCACCCCTGGCCCCAGCCAGCGCACTTGCCATTTGCCATGCCCAGAAGGAACTGATCACCCAGGCATGGGAGCATGGAGTTGGAACCCCAGCTCTAATTGTCATGCTAATGTGCTACTTTGGGGACATTCCTAGTAATCACAGTCCTGCCGGCAGCCACTGTGCTTTGAGCATGTTACCAGAGACTCATTTAATCCTCGCAACAGCCCTGTGAGGAGCACCCCGCCATTGTGCCCATTTTTTTTTTTTTTTTTTTTTATGTCTAGAGAGGATGTGATCCCATTTTTTTTTTGAGACAGAGTCCCGCTTTGTTGCCCAGGCTAGAGTGAGTGCTGTGGCGTCATGGCAACCTCAAACTCCTGGGCTCAAGCAATCCTCCTGCCTCAGCCTCCCGAATAGCTGGGACTACAGGCATGCGCCACCATGCCCGGCTAATTTTTTGTATATATATTTTTGGTTGGTCAATTAATTTCTTTCTATCTTTAGTAGAGACGGGGTCTCTCTCAGGCTGGTTTTGAACTCTTGACCTCGAGCAATCCACCCGCCTCGGCCTCCCAGAGTGCTAGGATTACAGGCATGAGCCACCGTGCCCGGCTAATTGTGCCCATTTTTACAGATGGAGATATCGAGGTGCAGAAAGGGCACCGGCCTTGCCTGGCCTTGGCACGTGGCTGGGGAGGCCAGAGCTGGAGCTGGCACCCGGGCAGGCAGATCCTGGGTCCCGGTGCCATAGGAACAGAGGGGCCTCCACTGAGGCAGCCTGTGTCCCTTCCCCCACAGGGACCTGGAACGGCACCACCCGGGTGGCCATCAAAACCTTGAAGCCGGGCACGATGTCTCCAGAGGCCTTCCTGCAGGAGGCCCAGGTCATGAAGAAACTGAGGCACGAGAAGCTGGTGCAGCTGTATGCGGTGGTGTCTGAGGAGCCCATCTACATCGTCACGGAGTACATGAGCAAGGGTGAGGCCGGCACCGCTGGCACGGGGGTACGCGGCCGCCCCTCCAGGTAGCCACCATGGACAGAACCGTTCACAACAGGGCAGGTGGGGGGAAGCAGGATTTCCCCCGAAATCGGTGGAACAGAATCAAATGCTCGTGTCAATGGAAAGTTAAACCAAAGATTGCCTTTCTCATTTCACTTTTTAAATCATTTCCTGTGGCCCATCCTGTTGCCCCCACTTTGCTGGTTTTCTAAAGCTGTTTGCCATATTGGGGCAAAAAGAGAACTCCCGCAACCCTCCACGCTGAGCCACAAGTAGGTCAAGTTGCTCGCTTGACCTTGACTTAATGTTTAAATTAATTAGTTATTTTTTGAAATACTTTTGAAATACACCCCCACTTTTGGGAGGTGTAATTTACATGTGATAAGAGACACCCATTCTAAGTGTCCAGTCTAATGAGTTTTTTTTTAATTTATTTTTATTTCTTTTTTAAGACAGAGTCTTACTTTGTTGCCCAGGCTAGAGTGAGTGCCATGGCATCAGCCTAGCTCACAGCAACCTCAAACTCCTGGGCTCAAGCGATGCTTCTGCCTCAGCCTCCTGAGTAGCTGGGACTACAGGCATGCACCACCATGCCCAGCTAATTTTTTCTATATATATTAGTTGGTCAATTAATTTCTTTATAGTAGAGACAGGGTCTCGCTCTTGCTCAGGCTGGTTTTGAACTCCTGACCTCGAGCAATCCTCCCGCCTTGGCCTCCCAGAGTGCTAGGATTATAGGCGTGAGCCACCGTGCCCGGCCCAGTTTAATGAGTTTTAACAAATGGATTCTCTGTGTGTATCCCTGACCACTATCAAGATCCACAACATCACCATCACCCAGAAAGTTCTGTGTACCCTTTTGCTGATGGGACCCTCCAACCCCAAAGCCAAGCAACCACTGATTTGCCTTCGGTCATTATAGATCTGTTTTTGTTTGTTGTAGACCTTCGTATATGGAAACTTTTACATCTGAGATTCATCCTTGTTGCATCTCTCAGTAGTCTGTTCCCGTTTTGCTGCTGAGTAGGGTTCCATTGTACGCATGGACTAGTCCATCCGTCCACCTGGAAGGGGACATTTGGCTGTTCCCCTTCCTGCTTGCCTTTGAGTGACAAACACTGAGTCGGGCTTTACTCAGAGTTCGGTTTTCATAAAATCTGCCGTGTTGGCTACAGCAAGGCCAGCCTGGCTGGGGGACAGGATTTGGGAATCCTTGCTCCTGGCTCAGGGAGGACAGGGCAGGGGCTAGAGCTGGGTCTCTCTCTGCCCAGGGAGTTTGCTGGATTTTCTCAAGGGGGAGACGGGCAAATACCTGCGGCTGCCTCAGCTGGTGGATATGGCTGCTCAGGTGAGTCAGCCCCTCCTGCCTCTCCACACCCTGGGCCCTCGAGCACCCAGACCCATCCGGCTTATCCAGATGAGTGCCCCCTCCAGGAAGCCTGCCTTGATTTCCCCCACACTCATTGATCTTGCCCCATGTTCTGGGCAGAGGAAAGCCCTTACCTGGGCATCAGAAATCATTGACTTGCTGTGGAACCTCAGGCCTCAGTTTTCATCTCTGTAGAGGTTATTTAGCCACTCAGCAAACGTGTATTAGTGCTTGCTGTAGGCAGTGCTCTACAATCAATTTTTCATTTAATCCTTATCACAATCAGGAGTAATCGGGATTGGCTGTTATTACCATTTGACAGATGAAAAAACTGAGGTTCACAGAGGGGACTTGAGGCAGTGGGCAGGACCTGGCATCTAGGTCCTGTCTGTGTCTCTGAGTCAGTGGGGGCCTCTTTTCATGGTCACCCCATTTTCCTGGCTGCATCTCATCTCATGCGTTCCCTTTGCCCTCTGCCCTGCACCCCTCCTCCCGCTGAGCGCTGCTCTGCTCTTTATGTTTAATACAAACTGACTTCACTTCCCTGAAGTAGTGTGGGAGGGCGGGGAGTGTGGTCGGCTCTCCACCCCTGCGGGGACCCCAGCCCTGGGCATGTGCCCCTGGGAAGGGCGTGGGTGGCCCCTGAGCCAGGCTCCCGCGGTTGTGCCTGCAGATCGCCTCGGGCATGGCGTACGTGGAGCGCATGAACTACGTCCACCGGGACCTGCGCGCCGCCAACATCCTGGTTGGAGAGAACCTGGTGTGCAAAGTGGCTGACTTCGGGCTGGCGCGGCTCATCGAAGACAACGAGTACACAGCCCGGCAAGGTGGGCGGGGTCTGCGTGGCCCTGGGCAGTTGCATCCTGCTCTGAGCCTCAGTTTCCTCATCTGCCAAGCGGAGATGAGAATGCTGCCCACCTGGCAGAGTGGTTGCGACACACCCTTTTCGCTCTGGTAGGTGCCAAATTCCCCATCAAATGGACGGCTCCAGAAGCCGCCCTCTACGGCCGGTTCACCATCAAGTCGGATGTGTGGTCCTTTGGGATCCTGCTGACGGAGCTCACCACGAAGGGACGGGTGCCCTACCCTGGTAAGCAGGATCCCCGTGGCCATCTCGAGTCCCTGGACCCCTCTGCGCTGGGGGCCTTGGACAATCCACAACCCCTCCTGGGCCTCAGTTTCCCCATCTGAATAACAGGTTGAGCATCTGATCTCGGCTCTCTGTGTGGTCAGGGCTGTCAGCCTTGGGGACAGGACTTACCCATGGTCACGCCTAGCCTGTCCTAGGCAAGAAGCCCTTCTGTTGTCCCCTTCAGCTTCCCCGCCCCATGCCTCGCTCTGCCCACAGGGATGGTGAACCGCGAGGTGCTGGACCAGGTAGAGCGGGGCTACCGGATGCCCTGCCCGCCCGAGTGTCCCGAGTCCCTGCACGACCTCATGTGCCAGTGCTGGCGGAAGGAGCCGGAGGAGCGGCCCACCTTCGAGTACCTGCAGGCCTTCCTGGAGGACTACTTCACGTCCACCGAGCCCCAGTACCAGCCCGGAGAGAACCTCTAGGAGCAGGCAGGGCCAGACGGGCTTCTCCGCTTGGATCCTGGTCTGGGGCGCCCTTTGCACGGGTCTTGCCTCCAGCTGCCTGCCCTCTCTCCGGGGGGCTGAATTGCCAGGGGCCAGGCCCGCCCCTCTTTTGTGGCATGGAAGGGCTTTGGGACCTGCGGGAGCCTGTGAGGGCAGGACTCAAGGAGGGCACAGTGACTCTGTCCCTGCTCCTGCTGTAGCCACACGCCCCCTCCCTGCACTCCCTCCCTGAGCTGGCCGGTCTCTGGTCTCTGGAGGAGGAACTGGGCTGGGCTGGGCAGGGCTGGGGCTCCCTGTTTCCCGCTCCAGTCTACTCCATTCATCAGCTCCTTCCCTACTTCCCACGGCCCTGCCCTGCGTCTGTCTCAAGAGCTGGCCAAAGAGCCTTTCCAAAGAGGAGCAATGGGCCCCCAGCCCTCGGCCTGCCTGCCACCCTGCCCCTCACCATCCACTTCAGAAACATCTGTAGGTGGAGGCCACCAAGGCCAGGACCTTCTGCCGTCACTCCCAGGCCGGGTGGCCTGAGGCCCAGCTCGACGTAATGCTGGGGGGGATGAGTACCCCTCAGACCCTGCCCTTCTTAGATGTGAGGGACCCTTAGAGACCATCCATTGCTTGCTCCCATTTTACCCATGGGGAAACTGAGTCCAGAGAGGGGATGTGACTTGCCAAGGCCACAAAAAAGTTCAGGGTTGAGGTGGGATCAGAACCTGGTGCTCCTTCTGTCTTCCTCAGGAACCAATGAGAATCGTCCTCTGAGGCATCACGGACAGACGGGGGCAGCCAGGGGCCAGGGGACTGAGGATGGGTTAGACACAGCAGAGCTCTGCAGCTGCTGTCCACTCGGCTGGGCTGTCATGGGGGAGGAGAACAGAGGCAGATGTGAGGCTGAGCTGGGAACGGGGGAGGGGCAGTTGTGGAGAGGCAGGCTTCAATCAGAATGTGGCTGGCTTTTGACCTTCAGCCAGCTATGAAAGACTGAGCTCCCCGTCTCTGGAGGCAATCAAGCAGAAATGGAAGAGCCAAGAGGCTGGGAGGCCCTGACCCTGATCTCAGGAGGGAACCCCAGGTCCTCCTTCCCCCAGTTTGTCCTGTGGCATTTTAATGCCTGGCCTCTGCCCTCCAGCCTGAGTTGGCACCCCTTCACTCATGAGATGGGAAAGGAGTGCCTGGGCTGGGGTGAAAAAGGATGAGGTGCCCACTACCATGCACCAGGACTGGCTGCGTGACCTTGGGTAGCCCCTGCTTTTTCTCTGGGCTGTAGTGTCTGCCCCATGTGTGACCATGGCCTCTGCAACTGCTCAGCTCCTGTCCCGTCCAGACTGGCAGGACATCCTTGGGGAGCCCAGCCCTGGGACATCAGGAGGTTGTTTAGGCCCTGGCTCTGCTGTTCAGCCTTAGGGTGTGTGGTGGCTTCTCCCTGGGCCTCAGTGTGCCCATCTGTAAAAGGACAGCTGACAAATTTGTGGCATCTTGCCAAGGGTCCCCGTGTGTGTGTGTGTGTGTGTGTGTGTGTGTGTGTATGTGAGTGCATGTGTGTGTGTCTCCATGTGTGTCCATATTTAACATGTAAAAACGCCCCTGCTCTGTCCCTCAGACACTTTGTACATTTCACCCATGGTACCCCATCATAGCAATAACATTCCTGCTGCCCGGGGTTCTTGAGCCAGCCAGGCCCTGCCAGCGGGGAAGGAGGCCAAGCAGTGCCTGCCGATGAAATTTCAACTCTTCCTCTCATACATGTTGATCACCCAAGTCTCCTCCCGTCCATCGCGGTCACATCTGGGCTCACTCACCTCGATGTGCTCTCAAATCCCCCCAAAACTGCCTAAGGCCCTTTGTATAGGTGTCCTGATACTGTCCTTTTTTAAAAAAAAAAAAACAAAAAACAGTGTTTTGTAGATTTCAGATGACTATGCAGAGGCCTGGGAAACCCCTGGCTCTGGGCAGGGCCTGGTGGTCCCAAATTCTGTGGCCCAGGCTTGGGGGGAGGAAGGGGGGATCCAGAATTGGTTGTAAATACTTTGCATACTGTCTGATTAAACACAAACAGACCTCAGAGCTTGGCCAACAGTTTATTGAACGTCTACTGTGTGCCGGGGGGTGACGGGTGGGTTGTGAGAACAAACTGCCGTTAGAAGGGCCTTGCGCTGGCAGCTCCGGTAGCTGGAAGGCTTTGGGCCAGGCAGGAGGTGACATGATCCGATTGGAGGCAGCCACGGTGGAATGTGGCCGTGTGTGCACATCCGCACCTGTGTTTGGGGTGAGTACCTGGGAGAAGCACCAGGCGAAGCCCAGGACTCCCCGAGTGTGATAAGGACAGGACTCAGATGCCTGTGGTGGATGGTGGCCGTTGACGCCGGGGACTGGGTGGGGGACTGTCAGGCCTGTGTGGAGTTGCCCTTGTATTCACAGGGAGATCACAACCCCCCCCCCCCCCCAGGATACTGCTGTGTGCGCTACTTGCGTGTTTCCGAGGAATGCGGGCAGGGCTGGAGGTGGCGGTAGGTCAACAGAAGTCCTGGGCATTCTGAAGCAAAATCCGAAGACCCCTCCTCCGCCGCCCCACCACCAAAGGACACAGCCTGGCAAGCCGTCTCCATAGCAAGAGGTTTATTTTACATAAATACACATCCGATCGCACACCTACGCATGCGAGTCACCTCTGGCCATAACACTGCTTAATTAACAACAAGGTGCAAAAATTGGACATGTCTCTGTTCAGTGTTATTTTCACAAGCCAAATGCACCATAGTGTCCAGGTCAGAATGGAGACTGCACAGGGGTGTGTGCGAGTTATGGGAGGTCTGGATGTGAGTTTGTCCTTGCCTTGCTGGTAGGAGTGTGCGCCCGGCTCCGTGCGCCTCTGTGTTCATGTGGGCAGATGTGTTGGCCCGTTTGCTCACGGGTGTCTGTGCAGATGCACTGCGTGGACGTCTGTGTGTGCAGGTGGCCTGTGAGCCTGGGCTCCTGGCCTGCGTCCCGATGCGTGTACTTGGGCATGAATGGGTCTGTCCGCTCTGGCTGTGCCTACGATGTGTGTGTATCGCCTGGACACAGATCGGGGTGTCCTGAGCCTGCGGCCTCCTGGAGCGTGCGGGAACCGCCGCGTGTAGCTGAGTCCACCCGTACGCGGGTGGGGGCGGCGTGTGCCCGTGCGGACCCGTGGGAGCTCAGACTCGCACCCGGCGCCGGCCACTCCCGGTGGGGCCCACGTGTGCCCAGGGGTGCAAGGCCACGTGCGAGCATGCCGCTGGGGACCCGTGCCAGCCCCCCGCTGGGGCTGGGACAAAGCGCTCGCCTGCGCTGCCTTGGCGGGTCGGGAGTGCGCCTGGGTCGGGAGTGCGCCTGCGCGGCGGCGCTGGCAGGGGCGGAGGCGGGGTCCAGGGCGAGGTCCCCAAGGCGGGGGGCGGGGGTCTGGTGTCGGGACAGCAGCCCCACTGGCCCTTTCCCCGCCTCTCCAGCTCTCTCTGGCTCTGTCTTGACAGTTTTCTGTTTCTCCCCCTCCCCTTGGTCTTTCTGTCTCTGCGCTTCTGATTTTCTTTCTGTGTGTCTCTCTGGGTCTCCCTGCTGCTCAGTCCTGTCTCTCTTCCTCTGGGCCTCGGCGCTGTGTCTCTTTGTTTCTCTAGTCTCCCGCGCCCGCCAGTGCCTGTCCCTCCGTCTTCCTCCCCGTCAGTCTCTCTCCGTCTCCGAGCTTCCCCGGCCCCCCCGCCCAGACCGCTGCCACTGCTGGGGACACTCGTTCTCCCTCTGCGCAGACTCCTATTCAGCCTTCAAAACACACCTCGGAGGCCACAGGCCACCCCTGGGAGCTCTCCCTGCCCCCAGGCACCGTGGTCCCAGCTTGCCCACCAGAACAGCACCGGAGGCCTGGGTGAGGTGGCTGCTGCCAGCCCAGGGCAGGACACACCGGCCACGCCGATCAGGCAGGGGAGGCGGGAAAGCCACTCCGCCTCTGCCTCCCCCTGTCCCTGGTGCCTTCTCTGGTTGCAGCTCCTCGCTCTGGGCCTGCGTCCAGTTCAGTCCTGCTGGGCTCTGCCTGTGACACACAGAGACACGGAGCAGAGGCGCAAGGCCGCCCCTCCTCCAGCCCCTATGTCCCCTCCTTCCTCAACCCTGTCCCGTTCCCAGCCCCCTTCAGGGGAAGAGAGGCCCTGGGACCCTGGCCCAGCCTTCTCCCTTTCTGGTTTCAGTTGGTTTTACTCTTACTCTGCCTGCGTGTCTTGTTTGTGAGAAACATTAAATGTTTTCCCCCATGACAAAAATAATATATATTCTTTTTGGCAGAGTAGGAAAGGTATAGAAAAGCACAAGTAAGAAAAGACTAAATCATAGTTCGCACCCCCTACTGCGTCCCTCCTGCCTGGAGGCTGGGGCAGTCTCCAGGGTGTATGCGACCCTCCGGGCCTGTCCAGCTCTCTGCCTCAAGGTCTCTGTCTCTGTCCCTCTCTCCAGCCTCCGGGCTGCACTTGTCGTTCTGTCTCTGGACTGCTGGCCTCGTTGTAAAACTTGGGTTGGAGATTTCCGCGGGCCGGTGCTGCCATGACCTTGCACGTGTGTGAGTAGGGCGCTTGCCTGCACGTGTGTGCGTGTCAGGCCCTCTATGCCTGGGCCGTGTGTCTTCCCGCAGCCCCTTGCTGCCTCCCTTTCTGCATGCGTTCGTGGCCTCCCCTTCCATCATGTGCAGCGTGGCATGTGTGGCATATGCATGGTGTCATGTGTTCATGGTGTCATGTGTGTGCTGTGTGTGTTGTATGCAGGAGGAGTTGCTGTGTGTGCAGTGTGCAGTGTATTGTGTGTGTAATTTGTGTATTGGGTGTAGGGCGTGTGCTGTGTGCACAGTGTGTGGTATATGGAGGGTGTGTGGCACGTGCAGAGTGTGTGCGGTGCGTGTCGGGTGTGTGGTGTCGTGTGTGTGGTGGTGTGGTGTGGTGTGCACGGCACGCTCGTGTCCCTGCTCCCGCCGCCTCCCAGGCCGTGCTGGGTGCTGCGACGTCTTCGTTCACCCTCTGCTCCTTTCATCTCTTCCCTTCTCTCCCGTAAAATTATCCGGGCCAGTCTGTGTGCAGGGCACACGTGCGTGCGCACACAGTCCCTGGTCTGCGTTTTCTCTCATCTCTGTCTTCTTTTCACATTTTTCTCTTGTGGGCTCCAAAAAGCCATGGTTTGCAGAGAGAGAGAGAGATGGGCGAAGACAGAGAGACAGGACGGATGGGGAGGGAGCCAGATGGGGACGGGTGAGCTGGAGGGAGGGCGGGAAGGGCAGGGGCAGGGAGATGGGCTCTCTGTCTGTCTGTCTGTCCAGGTCCTTGCTCTCTCCAGCCCTCCCCGCTCTGGGGCTCTTCCCACCCGGCTCCAGACTTACACTTCCCTTGGGGCATGTCTCCTGGGATCCTGGGGCTGTGTCCGTCTATCTGTCTGTCTGTGTGTCAGCCTCTGCCTCCCACCTCCCTCTTGCTGTGTTCTTATTAAATGCCCGTCTATTTCTTTGATTGTCCCACCCCCTGGGGTGTGTGTGTGTGTGTGTGTGTGTGTGTGTGTGTGTGTCCATGCACATGTGGCTGGATCTCCTTGCCAGCTGGCCTTTCTGTCTCTACCTACCACCTGATCTCCCTTTCTCCTTCCCTCCCTCCCTCCCTTTCTTGCAGCCCTCTCCGTGTGTGTGTGTGTGTGTGTGTGTGTGCGCGCGCGCGTCTGCATACACGTGTGTCTGCCGGAATCTCCCGTCCACTCGTCCCTGGGGCTGGGGCTACTGGGGGCTTGGCCTCTGGGGTAGTTTCTCCTCACTGTCCATTCTGGCCCAGCCGCAGCCTCAAGGCTTGCCTCCCGGATGGTTTCCCTTGCGACCATGCTTGGACATCTCACCCACAACCCCCCAAAACTTAATGCACGCAGATCTGCAGGCTTATGGCTGTGCTCCCTGCCCTGACCCCACGCCCCCGCCTCGCCTGGCTCCAGCATTGGGGGTCGCTGCCGTGGGCTGCGGAGTTTGTCTTCTTTCACTCCCTGGGCTCTTCCTACAACTCTCATCGTGGAGCAGCTGCTCCTGCCCAGCAGAGAGCGACAGAGACAGAGAGGCCCCCTCCCTCCTGCCCACCTGTCCTCTCCCTGCCTCTAAGGCGATGGCCTGGCTCCATGTGTGTGGCATTTTTGTCCTCTGTATGTTGTGTGCGTGCACATGCACCAAGTGCTTCATGTGCCTGCTGCCTGCCCCGGCTTCTTGTGCCCCCCCCATACCTCCATCTGGACTGTTCCAGATGTGCCGGCCCCTGTCTTCCCATCGCTCCAGTCTCTCTCGCCCCCTCCCCTCCTCTCGCGCTCTGCTGTGCGGGTCGCATGAACCCCTGCATCTCTCCAACTCTACCGCATGTCGTTCCTGCACTCTTTCACTCGCCGGCTCATTCACTCGTTCCTTTAACAAGTTTCCATTCGGCACCCACTGTGGGGCCAGCCTGGGCTTGGGGGCTTGGGCGCGAGGGGTTCAGAGCGAGGAAATCAGCTGGGGGCCACTCTCTGCCTAGAAGGACAGATGGGCAGAACAGCGCGGCAGGGCCCCGGGTCTCGGGAGAATGGGAACAGGGCTGTGAGCCTGTGCGGAGGGGCGGAGAGGAGAGGCTGAGCTGAGGCCGGAGGAGGAGGGGGTGACTAGGTGAAGTGGGGAGCAGGGGGCACTCCGGGCAGCGACCCCCCACGCGCAGAGCCCGGGAGGCCAGGCGGCGGCAGGCAGCCCGTCGCCGCAGCCTCTCTCCTCCGCCTCCACGTGTACACACTTTTCTGGGGTTTGTGACAGTGTGTGTGTGAGAGACAGACAGACAGACATACAGACAGACGCCAAGAGGGGGCAAGCGGGGCTGCAGAGGGCTCCCGTTTCTCTCAGATCTCTCTCCCTCCCTGTCCTCTCTGGGGTTTTACTGGCATTTGTCTTTTCTCTGGCCTTCCTGCGTTTGTCTGTCCATGTGGGATTCCTTGGGTCCGGCTCCCCCTTCCTCACCTCCCCTTGCCCCCGAGTCCCCACGCCCTGTCCACCACAGTCCAGGCGTGCGTGTCTGCTGTGCAGAGCG